CCCATACTTTTAAATGCATCAGCGGCCACTTGAGCGAAACTAAACGAAAATATATGAACGAAGATTCGAATCGTAGTCAGGGCCTATTTTTCATCTGGTCGGGCCCTAAGGCCCAAGCAAAAATTCGGGCCCCCTTTTCTAATAAAATTAAGAAATTATGAATATTTTACAATCTTTAACGGGCCCCCAGACCACCGGGCCCAAGGCGCGGGCCTATGGGCCTTATGGTGAAATAGGCCCTGATCGTAGTTTAGTTTCGCTCGTTTTAGTCCGTGACAGGTTCCAGCGAATTTTTCGCAGCGATTAATTCTATGATAGCAGAGACACAATACGAAAACGCAGCTAATTTAGCTGACTACTAAGCGAAAATCGTTCCCTGTGGCCAATGAAACTTATGGCAGGCGGCCACTGCGAGCGAAACTAAACTAAGCCAAGCTAAGATAACGAAACTATGTGAACGAAGATTCAAATCGTAGCTTAGTTTCGCTCGTTTTAGTTCATGACAGGTTTCAGCGAATTTTTCGCAGCGATTAATTCTATGATAGCAGAGACACAATACGAAAACGCAGCTAATTTAGCTGACTACTAAGCGAAAATCGTTCCCTGTGGCCGATGAAACTTAAGGCAGGCGGCCACTGCCAGCGAAACTAAACTAAGCCAAGCTAAGATAACGAAACTATGTGAACGAAGATTCAAATCGTAGCTTAGTTTCGCTCGTTTTAGTTCGTGACAGGTTTGAGCGAATTTTTCGCAGCGATTAATTCTATGATAGCAGAGACACAATACGAAAACGCAGCTAACTTAGCTGACTACTAAGCGAAAATCGTTGCCAGTGGCGGATGAAACTTATTTTCATTTAGTTACCGTTTCTTTTTATATTCTTAGCTTAGTTTAGTTTCGGTCGCAGTGGCCGCCTGCCTTAAACCTTGCTCCAAAGACGATTTATTTCCCATTTAAATTACTTGGGAATTTGCCACTTTTTGCAAATAATTTTTTTCTCTCGATCTTATTCTCTCGCAGTCATGACAATCATATTATATTCTTATACAGAAATTACAATTTTTCGATAAACCTACTCCTTCAAAAGTTATTCACGGTTAAAGTTAACCACTCGGTATATTCCTAAATTCTTCAACTTTTTTGACAAAATTATGATTATTTTTGAAAAATTCAATCTATTACTGTAAAAATATACAATTCTGATGGTGTTAAGGTTGGGAATTAATAAATCTTCAAGTCTAATAAAGTTTAAACTATGTAAGTATAACTTCTTTGGTTGGATTTTGATATTTCTTCTTATACTCGCTTACAATTTGAATCACATATTGTTATTCATCTTCACTTTTTGATAAAATATTAATGTATTCTTCTGACGATTTAACAGCTCTTTCAGCAGAATCATTAACTACTCTCACATTTTTCACAATTTCTAAGCCTCTCATATATCCAGGATCCTTTAACCATTCCGTACTAACTGCAAGAAACTTTACTACCTGTACCTATTATTAACTACCTGTCATGCATTCAATTGTTTTTCATGGTTCACATTTGTTTATCATGGTATCATCTTCTTCTTCGGGTTCCATCTCCTAATGGAGGTTGGAAATCATCATGGCAATTCTAACTTTTTTAACGGCTGCTTTGAATAACTGGTTTGAAGTCATTCCAAACCATTCTCTCAAATTCTTGAGCCATGATGTTCTTCTTCTTCCTTGGCTCCTCCTGCCCTTTATCTTTCCTTCTATTATGTTCTTCAGCAGGGCATGTTTAGGTCCTCTCATTATGTGTATTATGATGAGGGATACTGACTGTATGGAAAAGCTCATTACCAAGCTCAAGACCAAGAGGCCGCTCGCCCTCCCGATGGATAGACCAGCTATCAAAGATCCCCCACAAGCCACTGCACACGCTTGTACATGAAGCACAAGACAGGGAATTATGGGGACAAACCTCACACATCACCTGACCACTACATTCCTCTTGTAGGAATAAAGACAGAGAGAGAGAGAGATTCAGAGGTCCAAAGTACTCAAGTTTTCTCTTTTTAAGGGTGTTAATCACCTCTTCGTCCTTCTGAATTCTGCGTCGCAGTTCTACATGGTTCTACATGGTATCATGAAAATTGCTTTTTTTCAAATAATAGATTACATTTTTCAAAAATAATCATAATTTTGTAAAAAAGTTGAAAAATTTAGGAATTCATAGTGGTTAACTTTAACCGTGCATAACTTTTGAAGGAGTAGATTTATCGAAAAATTGTAATTTCTGTATAAGAATATGACTAGCATGGCTGCGAGAGAACAAGATTGAGAGAAAAAAAAAATATTTGCAAAAAGTGGCAAATTCCCATGTACTTTAAATGGGAAATGAATCGTCTTTGGGGCAAGGTATATTCTGAATATTAAGGGTTTACAATGGTCTGTTTTTTTTTAGACAATAAACTATAAATTTAGAGGGCATCATGAGAGAAATGATATTAATTTTATATTATTGGGCACTTTAAACGCGGACGAAGTCGCAGAGAGGAGGTTTTAAAAGTATTCTGACTAAAGTGACGACTAAGCCGAAGTTCAATGCCAAATTCGATAAAGTATCTATTTCTGAATACGTACTATTAGGTACAAACATTTGTCAAATAGTCGATGATGTCACAACGACACAACAATATTCTTTGAGAAAATGATAATTTGAAAATATTTTTGACAGAATATTTTTACTTAATACTTTAGTTCACGATATAATTGAGCGATAAATACCCAGTACATATTTAATAATTGCGTATGTAAGGCCGAGGAAGTTAGCCAAATGCAAAACGATACGACCAGGTAACAAGAAGCAAAAAAAAAGGAATAGGAAGAAAGGAATGAAGATTGCTCAACTGGCTCGACTGCTTTTTATTCTTTGCTACTCGGATAAACGAACGCACTGTTGCCATTTACTACTACAACATTCTTCACAGATAGTCATCAATGGAGAAGAAAATAAAAGACATTACGTACCTTTGATTGGACGACGAACTATTTTGACAAATTATCTTGTGATACATTTAAAATTTAATCTGGTCCAGCCCATTTTAAGGTGTGTAAAACATCTAACAGGGTTTAGATTCCTTAGGATAAAAGTTATATGATATTTATTTATTCGGATTTCGATTTACCGAGTAAAATAAGGCGAGGTTTCTTCGAAAAGGTCATGGGAACATCGTGGAGTATGAAACTATTTCGTTGTGTGTTAAACAAGACCACGTATTTTTTTGTTCCGAGTTACGTGAACAGGTTCTTTTTATTATTTATTTTAATTTTGTTGAGTATAACGGCGTGGCTTTTTTTAATTATCATTGTTGTTGGTTGTTTTGGTTCATTGTTCGCGTTATGTAATTAAGTTGTGAAGTTATTCTCTATAGTTTGGGGATCATAATTCGCATTTTTTATTTAAATACTTTGCAGTTGGGGGTTAGAACCATTTAGTTTTATAATAGGAAAATAAAACACTAATCCACCACAAATGTTTTGGTGTATTGTGGTGAATTAGTGTTTTATTTTACTAAATAAATTACTTAAAAGTATAAGTTAAAAGTAAATTGATATAATAATTTTATTAATTTGATTATCCGATAAAATATTTTAATAATAATTGACTCATATCTCAAAAATGATATGAAACAGATATTTGAAATGGTAAATAGGTTTTGTAGTTTTAAGATATAGATTATTTTAAAATGTGCAAAAGTTAAATCCTCATATTACTATACACTCATGCGTCGATTTGATGCGTCCATGCACGCATAGTGAGTATGATGCGGTTGCTCGATGCGTTTCGTTAGTTCGTTTGGAAATTCGTCCTTTTGTTATGGTTACCTCCAAAACAACGACATTCCGCCGAATCGTTGCACAACAAAAAAAAAGTCATATTTGAGAATAATATGCTGCCTCATGCTGATGAAGAAATGCCACTCAGATGGTTGTTCCAGCAAGACAATGATCCCAAGCACAAATCTCGGTTTGTTCAAAATTGGTTAAATGAACATAATGTTCCACTAATGGATTGGCCCTCACAGTCTCCGGATCTTAACCCCATAGAAAATTTATTGGACCATTTGGATAGCAAAATTCGAAGCCATTCTATTTCAAATAAAAAGAAATTATGGGAAGTGCTAAAAACTGAATGGGCGGCCATTTCCAGTAAAGATTGTACGAGATTGATCGATTCGATGCCACGAAGATGTAGAGAAGTAATTAATTCAAAGGGATATTCCACTAAATATTAGTAATTTTTATATTATCTTGAATTTTAATAAACATTCTCCTTAAGTTTCCATACTTTTGACCAAGAAAATATTTATAATTTTTTATATATTTTTTGATAGCTGTAATTTTTTATTTAAATGTATTAGGTTTTGTAGGAAATTATTTGTAGCTCACGATTATATAAGTCGTTTTATTTCATATTTTAATTTCTCAGCATAAATGACAAATTAAAAAAGTTTCCATACTTTTGGCCACCACTGTATGTATATCCATAATAGAAGGGAATCGCTATAGTAAAATAATGTAGTTTTTGTTTAGTTTGATTTGGTTAGTTATCTTTCTCTCGAAGAAGTGACGCCTGGTCTGAACTTTTATTTTAAGAATATTAAAATTGTATTGTACTTCTCTGAATATTTTGTAGACATTATTTAAGAAACTGAAAGACAGTTCTCGTTCTCTTTAATTCAGCACAGTTCCAAGATCTCTCTCTTAACAATCAGCTCTCTTTACTCTTTAACACTTCTTTTTACACCTCTTTACGTTTCTTAACCAACACAGTTCCAAGATGTAACTTTTCTTTACGCTCTTTACATTTTATAATCAACAGTTCCAAGATGTAGCTCTTTACTCTTCGACACGCTCTTTACTTGTTTACCTCTTCAGTTCAGACAGTTCCTATTCACAGTTTTTACACACACACACAGTACAGTTCACAGTCGGCATTTCTTATGTTTAATTTTACCTTTAAATTAATTGTTAGTTTTCCTCATATATTAACAGCATTACATACGTCAACAAGTGGATTCAACATATGAAAAACCTACATTCTAAAACAAATTTGAGATAGATGGTTTAAAATCAAAACAGCAGCTTTGGTAACAGCCGTTACTTAACATTGTCAGTCGTTGCTACAAACATAATAAATCGTTTTCCAAATTGTAAATAATAATTTGTTCATTTAAATCCTGAAATAAAGTTTAAAATAGTAATTTATGTTAAAAATCAAAATATGTAAAATACTGACATAAAGCGGCTTTCACCACTAAACATTTCCACTGTCTATGGATTTTTTTTTATTAGAGCCAAATCGTTACCACTTATCTGTTATAATAAGAATTATTCCTGATGGAAAACATCCACATATTGGCCATTCACATTATCTTTTATTTTATTATAAGTACTCTCAAAAGTTCAACGCTAAAAAGCAAACTGATGTGTTGCTTGATCTATTATTTTATATTATTTTAATTATTGAATATTTTTGTTGACATTTTACACTAAATTTGGACGATACCTGACAAAGACAGTTGTCTGTCATTGATATTTACAGGGTAAATTAATTGTCATACTTTGGATGTCGGCTGTCGAAAAGTTTCTTTACTCGTTGAACCAGAATTCACATAGTTTGTCCTTGCAGTTTACTGTTCAAATTAAACCGAAAAGTATTTGAAATATATTTATCAAGTATTTTAATTTAAGTACTAAAACAGCTCTGCTAGGTTAGTTCCATTATTTAAAATAAGCCAAGGAATTTATAACATAGAATATTGTGAATACCGCAAATTTTTAATAGCGTCGTTCCCTTTCACTTTGTACACTAGATACCAATATCGGTCGTGGCAGGTCTTTGAAAGAGAAAAATAAAACGAATAAGAAACTCTTGACCCGCAATTAACAGTACCCATACTACCATTAGTACGAGCCAATAATGTTTTTCTATCGCTTTATCGGCCATGCAATCTTGACTGTACCGTTGGAAACAGGGTTGCCGATCTATGGCTTAAGTTTAGCTAAACTTAAATAAGATAAAATGGATATAACAGAAAAAATATGACGAACAAAAAAGAAACATAATTTGTAAAAATATAGAAAAAAGGGAAAGAAAGGGTTGCGGTATAGGTTCACAAACCTCAAAATTAGTACAAATGGGCTGTGAATAGGGATACCCTTAGGGATACCGTACCTACAGATGGAACGCGTAGGAAATTAAGCATAAAGTATAAGATTTTTATAGATAGTCGGCAACTACCTCAACTGGCGTGGTGTCCCAATTTTGTTTTTCAGTTAAAAATAAATGATACAATATATTCAAACTTGTCAATTAACAATTTCATTAATTTTCAATAAATAAATAAGAACAGTTACAAAAATAAAGTAAAGCGCATTTTTAAGATTTTTTTTACAACCGGAAATATAAGTTGGCTAAGAAACCTATAGAAATTAAAAACATATGTATATTATTATATATTATGATTTTTCGTATTATTGAAAGTACCTGAAACGTAACTGAAATGTGAAGCTGAAAAGTAAACTGAAGTGTGAAGCTAAAGTATAAACAAACGTTATTTTTTAACAAAACTGCAAACCTTGAATGTATATAACTTTTTCAAATACAGTTCTTGCAATTGATCCATGAGATTTTTGTTTTTTTTTGTCATTTCTTCGTTGACATATACTACATACATATATTTTGTTTCTGGTTGGTATTCATTATTCAATTCTCTCTCTTCTACAGGTAAGAGATTCAGAATCGGCTTTATGGTTAATCTTTGAAGAAAAATCATTGTCTCGATGATCTTCATATCACTTAAGCCTCTTTAAGTTGATTAAACCACTCGGTTAATGTTTCCTCAAAATTAGCATCTCCGTGACGCACACTTTTTCAACTACCCACCATCCTAATAATGAAAAAAATTCTTGGCGTGGTGCACACAGACCCCAATGTAACTTTACCCCCCGCTGGTAGGAACAATACTTGATAAAAACAAGTGCGCATTTAGCAGTTCTTTTGATCTTACATGTTTATTTTAATTAATATATAAATATTAAGTTTTATTCATTTGTTAATGATTAAAAACCCATGGTTAATAAATCGTGCGTCGACAGTTTAAATAAGTGTTTTGGTGTATTATGGTAAATTGGTGTTATCTTGCTGTTATAACAGTTAAGGAGGTCTCCAATCTTTGTTGCATTTAAGATGAATTAAGCGAACCCATGGAAGGCTTTTATTGCTAACCATTCAAAAAATAAGAGCTATGAGAGCTTCATGCAAGTAGGAATCGGCTGCGTATATTTAGTTTTTATGTATTATTTTTTACAATTAATGCTATTATACTGTTGAAAAGTTGTCTTTGTCTTTGCAATGTCAATTTTTAAAAACGCTTAAAGATTGACGTCGCCAAAATTATCATCGATTGTCATTCCCCAGCCGTCCTTGACGACGCTTTTTTCAATCATACGGTATTACTTATGCTTTAAAAGATCTTAGTACATACTGATTTAATAAAACTTGTTAAGATTAAAATGGAATCAAGTGATTTTTTTAGAAATTTCGATTACTGACTAGCTTTAAAAAAAAATTGAAGATTACCGTGTTGTAAAATATGATTACAGAAAGGTTTGGATTGTAGCGTGGTGCGATTAAGGACTTTCTATTTAAATTTTTTAAATTTGTGTTATATGTTTTTAATATTACTTGACGCTGCATGTTTAAAGGCGAGCGACGACGCCCATCTCGGTTCCTTGACGTCTCGACGCCTTGGCATTGGCAGTGTGCGGAGTAGGGGTGGGGTGTAACTGACGTCACCTTCACGGTTCTATTGATTTTCCGTATCAAATCGTGGGTGTTTGCGAGATTTTAGATACGCTAGTAATAAGGATTTACATTTACAGTCTGTGTAGGGTTTCTATGGTACAATTTTGTTAAACCACCGAAAATTACTGGGACTTATTCTGATTTAATTTAATTAATTATCCTTTAGCTAAATGATGTATTACAATAAACTTCATTAAGAATTGTTAATACGTTTGTACCAGGCTCATTGCTCCAATCTTCTAGAATTATAAGCTCTAGGAAAAACATTTTAAATACAAATATTTATTTTATACAGGGTTGTCCCAGAAATAAGTGCAAGTATTTTAACTGGTAGTATAGTATAGTTCAACCCCAGAAACACGCCTATGAGTTTTTTCGCGAATTTTTTTTTTGAAAATTCGAAATTTTTTGGAAATTTTTTTAGTTTTTAGTTAAAAAACATAATTTCTTGATATGGCAACAGAGGTATTAGATTAAATTTACCAGAAAAAATCCAGTGGTTCTCAAAATTTTAGAAAAAATATTTTTTTTTTGGAAATCTTCAAAGTAAATTAACTCCGTTATTTTGGACTTATTTGAAAAACGATAAAAAGAAAATATGTTTCTTTTATCGAGATCTACCACCCCTTAAAATACTTGCACTTATTTCTGGGACAATCTGTATAAGAAGCCACTCTTCTGTGCTTATTTCTTGATAGCTTTTTCATATAAAATCAATAAAAATACTTAACCTTTTAAGGGTTTTATCATCCTTCTTCCCCTCTTATTATTGTCGGTAGCTAAAAAATAGAGAACCAAGTTGAAAGTCCAATAAATAATGTTAATAATCACTAGGAAATGCTAACAATTACGCATTCGACCACTGTCGTATTTTAAAGAAATCGTCGACTTTTCTAGTAATTCTTAGCAGTTGGGGCAACGACCCAGCTACGTCGAAACACCGCCACCGGTTCCCATTAGAGCACCGAAGTTAAGCGATGTAAGGCGATACAAGTGGATGGACGGGTGACCGGTTCGAAACTCTGTATCGTGCTGTTGTCCAAAAAAAGTAAAAGTGTAAAATCTATTGACACACACTGCTCATTCACGCCGGTTCGAGGCCGGATGAAATCGGATATCTCGTGAGTAAGAGTCGATTTAGACACTTGCCAAGTCGGTAGGCCATTGACCATGATATGGCCGAGGACCGCGGTTCGGATTCCGCGTAAAGTAGCCCCCCGTCCAGATTAGCCCTAGCAGCAAAAAGGACACGTTAACTTGAAATCTTTACTTTCTTAGCAGTTGCTAGTGAGAGTAATATTTACTACTGTCAGTAAAAGTCATTATACCGGGTGCGTCTCAGAAGTGGCTCACCCCCTATAACTTTTTTATATTTTCAGATAAAAAACGAGATTTGGTATGTTAGTATATGACATAAACGAGGACATAAATTATTATTGATTGACGTATTCAATAATTGTTTTTCTTCACTTGCTGTATCAACGGAAATTACTACAACTTTTGATTTTTAAATGGCACCCTTGGTTTTTTACCTTAATTCAATAGAAAATGACACTCTGAATAGAATGTCAACTTTTGATATTTTCTTATATGGTTTATTTGAAATTGTAACATACGGTTCATATGACAATTTCACTCGAAATACCAAATGTGTGGTACCAAATTAATCGTAAAAAAATGCTTTTTGCAAATATGCTAATGAGTCACCCTCGTTCCATTTGAAAAAATTGAGATATGATTAAAAATACGATTTGGGCATCTTTTAACCGCCGCGCCGAGGACAATACACGAAACACATTAAATCTAAAAATCAGTGCGCTTTTCCTAGTAATTGTTAACATTCACTGATTTCTGGCTTTTACTGTAACGTATACATCAAATAAAAATTGTTACTCTTAAATGTTTTTAAAACATGTGTATGTTTAATTTTTGACATATTTACGTTATTGTAGGTAAAATATAGTACATAATTCGTGTTGCAAGTGCATTATTATTATTACATCTTGTCGTGGATTATTGCACTCGCCGCTACGCGTCTAGTGCGCTGATAGTTTCCGATATTCAATTACTTCACAAATTACAGACATCAAACATTACAAACATTAATTTTAAAAGAAATAAAGTATTATTGCTATCTTTCGCGTTTGACTAAAATATCGTTTATGATAGGGGACCAAAAATTAGTTAAAATTAAAAATGAATATCATGATTGATAACATAACAAGAGTTTTTTTTTCTAGTCGTACGGTACTTGGCACGTACCCTATGTCCTCTGATATTTCGAAGTGGTGCCAAACGTGAAAGTACGATGTGTATTCCTCACATTTTTCCTCTTCGACCTACTTGACACAGAAATATCTCTGCGATCTCACGACGTTGAACCTCATTGAATTCGAAATATTTTACATTTTTTATTTCAGATTTTACCTTGTTGCCCTATTTCTTCCTGCAATGTTCAGTCTCTTTCGCTTAAATATGTTCGTTTATGTCAGAACAACTCACTTTTAATTTGCTGGTTATACAAAATTGATTCAAAGTGCATATGACTCAAAACATTATGGCATAGGACAGACAAAGCCTGTATATCTCAATATACTGGGTGCGTCTCAAAAGTGGCCCAGCCCTATAACTTTTATTTTTTTAGATACAACGAGATTTGGTATGTTAGTATATGACATAAATTAGGAT